CCTCCTGTCAACTCCTCCTCCTCCGCCTCCTCCTCCTCCTCCCAACTCCTCCTCCTCCTCCTCGTCCTCCTCCTGCTCCTCCTGCTCCTCCTCCTCCTCCTCCTCCTCCTCCTCCTCCTCCCAACTCCTCATCCAGGGCTCCCCCGCCGCGAACCCCGGCAGGCCACGAAGCAGCTCCCAGGCCCAGGTCGGCGGAGGGTGTTTTGGGCGCCCCGCTGAAACGTGGCGCAGGTAGGGTCGCAGGGGGGGGGGGAAGCGGGAACCAAAAAGGAGAGGACGAGGAGGAGGGGGGGTAGGCGGAGGAGGAGGAGGAGGGGGAGGAGGAGGGGGAGGAGGAGGAGGAGGAGAAGGAGGAGAAGTAGGAGGATCAGTGTAAACCCCAGCGTCATCAACGATGTTGGAATAAACCCTCCCGCCAAGCGCCCTCTCCCATGCAACGGTTCATTTCGATGGAGCCTCCTCGTTGGCAGACAACCGTTTGAAGACCCTGAAGCATGCCAAAACATTATTCTCGGGATTCCAACGCTACGGATCAACCTGACTGTTGCGTGCAAACGATGCCGAATCGTGCCAAAAGGCCATTCCTGGGACTTCAACACAGCAAACGAATCAATGTAACTGCCGCACCCGCATAACCCTGAATCCTTTCAAAACACACTGTCTGAAACGCTGATAGTGGGAATCCGTGAAGCTCTTGCAAAAAAATATAAAGGGATGTTCGCCGCGCCTGGGGGAGAACAACATTTTGAAAAGGAACCACCTTCAGTCTGTGAAACTCTTGCAAAGCGTGTAAATAGAAAACCACATGTTGAAAACGGGTCGCCTTCAATCCCTGAAACTCTGGCAATGTGTTAAACGATTAAGCACCGCGCTAAAGCGACATCCACAGTTTGAAAAGGAGCAGCCCTCAATCCGTGAAACTTCTGCAGATTGCTTAAACGAATTTGCACCGCGCTAAAGCGAGAGCCACATTTTGACAACGGGTCGCCCTCAACCCGTGAATTTTGAAAACGACCCGCCCTCCATCTGTGAAACGGTTGCCAATGTTTACACTGCAGAATCATACATGGGGGGAAATAACATGCGAAACGCCCGGACCGCTCTAAAAACTGGCTTGGGGGTTCGACAGGGAACAGTTGCTCATAAGGAAAGGGACCGAGGAGGAGGAGGAGGAGGAGGAGGAGGAGGAGGGAACAGGAGGAGAAAACAAGAGGAGGAGGAGGAGGAAGAGGAAGAGGAAACAGGAGGAGGAGGGAGCAGGAGGAGGAATTGGGGGAATCGGGCCCCCGTGGCTCGCAGGCCCAGGCCAGCCAGAGGGGGGCGGGCTGCCCTCCGTTAGTTGGCGCCGACCCCGTGACGCCTGCCCCGAAGTCCTTGGACTGGAACGTTTCCGGGGGCATCTCCAGCGCCACGTCCGCCGACAGGCTCGAGCGCAGGCAAGTCCTGGGCGAAGCAAAACCCCGGGATATACGCGCGCGGCGAAGAGGTCAAGACCATAATGTCGGGTGTTGCTAGAACTACCCCCTGGCTCAAGGTACCCCCAGGATTCTCGGGGTGGCCCAGACGACCTCCAGGGCACCCCTCACGAGGCCCACAAGGTCCCAGGGGCTCAAAAATGGAGCGAAAGACTGGGGGCACCTTGGGCCAGGGGCGCTTTTAGCAACACCCGATAATGGTGGTGAATCCACTGCAGAATTGTCGCTGTGCCAACCTTGCAAACGTGCTGCAGCGGATTTGTCGCGTGGATTTCTGTCAGCGCAAAAGCCCGAAACGGCGAGCGGAAAACGAACTGGGTGTCGCGAGAACTGTTTAATGATATTCCTCTACGAAAAACATGGCGAAGGACCCAACCATATGCAATTGTGAATACCGCAATTGTGAATATGTTCTTCGGTGGCGCCCCCTTATGGGGCCACGAACCGCATGGGAGGTGCGCCGAATTGCGTGGCGGGGTACACAACGCGAACGAAAACGATAGGTCGAATTACGAAAGATCAAGCGCGGGTGAGTCTGAGCGCGAGTGAATCTGAGCGTGAATGAGTCTGCGCGCGAGCGAGTATATTTGCACGAATGCGAGCATGGCCACGCCTGGCGTGTATAACAATACGATTGTGAATGTTTCACGCACGCCTGACCCTGAGTACTCCTGACAGTGAGCGTGGCCGCCGCAGGGAGCTACTCCTGGAACCCCTACAGCAGCGCCCGCACGCCGCGACGCCCATGCCGGCGCGCTCCTCACGAGGATCGCGCCCGCTTCCTCCCCGTTCGTTTTGCTCCCTTTTTGCCCGCGCGCGCCCCCGCGACGCGCGTCGGTCGCCCCGGAAGGGTCCCGGCGACGCGCGCGGGTCGTCCGCTGCGCGGAGCAGTGAGAGCTATCTGGCTGGCTGATAGCGGGCAAGGCTGCGGCCGCTCGGCAGAGCGACGACGGGGGCGAGCGAGGCTCTGGGCAGAACGCAGCGCTGAATTCCCGCGACGCGCGCTGGTCGCCCCGAGAAGGCCCCAACGACGCGCGCGGGTCGCCCGCGGCGCAAGGCCAAACAGTCAGACCGTCGAGAGACGGCGAGGCTCGGGCGGGCCGCTCCTCAGGTCAAGCCTTGCGGATCAACTCAGTGAAGCTTTGCTCCCTGGCGAGGGCCGCCGCCTCCCTCCTGCACCGCTTCGTGCGTGTGGCAAACTGCTCCAGCTGTTTCTGCAAGCCCTCCGGCGGCCCTGCCAGGAAGAACTCGATGCGCGGTGCCCGCATGAGCAGGAGGTCCTCGTGGCGCGTGGCGCGCGAGGAGCAGCGCGTAGAGCTCCAGCCACCCCAATCGTCGTCATCCTTCTTGCCGTTCCCCACCTCGTGGTGGCCGCAGACCAAGATCACGCCTGGGCGATGCCGGCCGAGGGAGCAGCGCGCCGGACAGCCAAAATGGGGCGGCGGCGTCATGCGAACTGCACCACTGGGACCTTAGGTGGAGCTCCCTCTGGGGCCACGAAACGTGTGAGGGATGTCCCAAAATGGAGCGGCGGCGCCATGCGAACTGTGCGACTGCGACCTTAGGAGGAGCTCCCTGTGGGGCCACGAAACGTGTGAGCGGCGCCCCCAAATGGGACGGCTGCGCCATGCGAGCTGCGCCATTGGGACCTGAGGTGGAGCCCCCTCTGGGGTCACGAAACGTGTGAAGGGTGTGCCAACATGGGGCGGGGGTGCCATGCGAACTGCGCCACTGGGACCTTAGTGGAGCTCCATCTGGGGCCACGAAACGTGTGAGGGATGTCCCAAAATGGAGCGGCAGCGCCATGCGAGCTGCGCCACTGCGACCTTAGGTGGAGCTCCCTGTGGGGCCACAAAACGTATGAGGGGTGTTCCCACCTGGGGCGGCGGCGCCATGCAAACTGCGCCACTGGGACCTTAGTGGAGCTCCCTCTGGGGCCACGAAACGTGTGAGCGGTGTGCCTAAATGGGGCGGCGGCGCCATGCGAACTGCGCCACTGGGACCTTAGTGGAGCTCTTAGTGGAGCTCCCTCTGGGGCCACGAAACGTGTGAGGGATGTCCCAAAATGGAGCGGCGGCGCCATGCGAGCTGCGCCACTGCGACCTCAGGTGGAGCTCCCTGTGGGGCCACGAAACGTATGAGGGGTGTTCCCACCTGGGGCGGCGGCGCCATGCAAACTGCGCCACTGGGACCTGAGGTGGAGCTCCCTCTGGGGCCACGAAGCGTGTGAGGGGTGTGCCAAAAAGGGGCGGCGGCGCCATGCGAGCTGCGCCACTGCGACCTTAGGTGGAGCTTCCTATGGGGCCACGAAGCGTGTGAGGGGTGTGCCCACATTTGGCGGCGGCGCCATGCGAACTGCGCCACTGGGACCTTAGGTGGAGCTCCATCTGGGGCCACGAAACGTGTGAGGGATGTCCCAAAATGGAGCGGCGGCGCCACGCGAACTGCGCCACTGCGACCTTAGGTGGAGCTCCCTGTGGGGCCACGAAACGTGTGAGGGGTGTGCCGAAACAGAGACATGCGGAGAGCAAAGGCAAGGAGGGGAAGGAGGGAGAAGAGGGAGAAGGAGGAGGAGGAGGAGGAAGGAGGAAGGAGGAGAACGCGGGGCACCGTCTCTTCAAAACGAGGACCCAACACCACAGGATGGTTGGGAATCATACAAAATCCGCGCGAAATCCACCTCGAACTGCGGAATGAAATTCTCCAGGACATCCGGGCCCATCCTATGGTTTTCCAAACGAAATCCGCTCTGCGATGTTGGCGTGGCGCCATGACAACTGATTGCTACAGAATTTGAGCAAATGAATACATAAACCAGTCTGCTGACCCTCTGGCGTGCGTGAGACGCTCTTCCATTTGAGTCGTCGTCATCGTTGTCACCGTCGTCGTCTTCGCCGTCAGTCCCAAGGAACTTCAGGAGCAAAGAAATTGAAGAACGTCGTAGTTCAGTCGAACGGAAGACACTCTCTTTGATCCCTTCCCTGCGGGGGGGAGGGTCTTGGGGGGGGTCCCCAGGGGGTCCCCAGGGGTAGCGGGGGGTGTCCCGGGTCAGAGTACAACACCCCCGGGGGGTCCAGGAGCCCCAGAAAGCCCCAAGACGGGCCAAGAGAGCCCCAAAACCCACAAGACGGTCCAAGAAGGCCGAACAATCTGTCCAAGATGTCCGAGATAGCCTCTAGACAGCCCAAGTGGCCTCCCAGACGCCCCAAGAGGCCTCCAAGACCGCGCCCACGAGGGCCCCACGAGGCAACCTTCATTGATTTCCCACGAGGCAACCCTCATTGGCAACCTTACAGATTTGGGAGTTCTTGCCTTATCGACTAAACGACGCTCCAAGGCGGCCCAAGAGGCACCCAAGATCGCCCCAAGCAGCCCAAACCCCAGGAAGGTCCAAGAGGTCCCCAAGAGGCTCCAAAACTGCCCGTAGAGGCCCTCGAGAGCGTTCTGAAAAGACCCCGAGAAATATCCCTGAGGACTCTGACCCACGTCAACGTCGTCGTCGTCGCCGCCGCCGCCGCCGCCGCCGTCCTCGGCGTCGTCCCCCTTCTAGGTACGCGGCACCGGCCGAAAGTGAAGGCGCCCAGGGACACACAGATAAATAGTCAACTCCCAGGATTCCCAATATGCTTCCATAGTTTCTTGAGTTTCGTCTTCCCCTGCACGTCCCATATTTTCGATTTTTCCGGGGGATCGACGATTCTTCGTGTCTGTGTGTCGGTTTTTCTTTCCTGAGAAAGGCCTTCGCAACATGCACTCATTTACTATTTTTTGTGATTTCGCTTGCGGTTGGGGTCGGAAGCGAGGTTGCGAGGCCAGGGAAGGATCGCGCGGGCCTGGAACCACTAACAAAAACCTCCTGGGGCTTCTCGACGGAACATGTTTCGCCGTTTTCGGCCTCGCGCGGACATCCGCCGGGCCCCGGTACTGTCGAAAATCGGCTCGGGATGAAAAGCGGCCTCCTTGGGAGAGGGTCGTGATTGGAGTACCATGTGGGACCTGCTCTAGACCAAAGAACATACCGTAGACGGATCTGCCCATTCTCCGACCTCGTGCTGCGCCGCCCGCAACAGCCACGTTCTCTGTAGACGCATCCACCCCGAATGCGTCTATATACGCAACGGCACCCGATGCGTCTATAGACGCGTGCGGCTGAAAAGTGAGAGCGGTATTTGGCACAGGCCCTAGACATTGGTCTTCTGTAGTAGAGGCAGGTAGACTTTGCCCTCCAAGGTGGGGACGTTCAGGGACCGCGTATTGGAAAACAAGGCAAAGGATATCGGATGCCTGGAAACACCAGTCGTGTAGGAGATCGACTACAGAATGGATTCTCGAATCCAGAAAACGCAAAACGTTCGCAGATCTACGGCGCACTCTGCGTACTGCTTGTAGGCTCGACGAGAATAACAAGTTTGGGATACATCACTTCTGCGGCCGATCTGCTACTCGAAACAGCACTGCTACTCCCCGGACATCTCCAAGAGGGCGCTCAGACCGGCACTTCGAGGCCCACCCGACCGCGTGGATCGTTCCACCTCCTGGCATCGCTCGGACGTCCGTTCCCTGTGTTTTTTTTCGGTTTCGTGCGTGGTTTTTTCGCCAAATGATCAAGGATGCTCCTCGATGGTCCTCGCCGAGAAAAAATGCACAGGTCCGAGCGATGCCAAGCCCCTGCCAGTGGTTGTGCGTCGTCCCAGATCCATATGTCATGGCCCTGGGGTTAAGTCGGGCGTGTCCCTCTTCAGGAGGAACACTCAAACATTGTTTAAAACATGGTCTGGGGACGACTGTTCGACCATCTATGAATATCTTTGAACAGTTGTGGTACTTTTTATGTTTCGTCCAAGATCCGCCTGTAGGGGGACAGGCCCCACCGAACCCTGGGGCCCGACACCGGGCCCCCGAGGCCAGAATCGAGGAAAAACACCCCGATTGAAAAGAGCATTCTCGCTGGAGACCTGGGGCAGGGCTGAACCTACACGGTGTTTTTCGTTTTCGTTATGCTTTCGCTCGCCCTCGCTTTTTGTCTCGAATCCGCCCTTCTACCGCAAACACGAAATCGAAAAGAAAACGGCCCACGAAATCGCCAAAACACCGTTTAGGTGCAGCCCCGATCTGGGACCTCCTTCCTCTCGGGAGCGGCCAAGAGGGGGGTGTCCAAGAAGGGGACGTGCAGATCATGACCGGCGGCATGTGCGCGGCGCGGCCCAGCGGGGGGGCCAGGGACGTAATGAAATGAGAAGAGGCGCCATGAAATCTGGGGGAATATCATGGCCCACGCCATGATATCCACCCCCCCCCTAGTCATCACCCCCCTCTTTGCCGCCCCCGACTCTCTCAGGGTCCCCAGACCTCTCCTGGGGTGCGTTCTGACCAGCATCTCGGGGCGAGTCCGGTCGTGGCGACGGGGGCCTCCCCTGGAAGCCACACAGGAAAAAAAGCCGCGGCATCGGCACACCGGCCACGATGTTTGAAGGGGCCCTGGGGCACACAAATAAATAGGCACAACTAACAGGATCCCCCGCACTTTTCCCATATTTTCTGGGTGGCAGTTTTCCCCCCCACTTCCCATCTTTTCGCATATTTCCCTAGGAGTCGACGATCAATTGTGTCTGTGTGCTTTCTCCTCCTGGATGTTTCCGGCCCGCGGCCCCACAGCTCCCGACCCTTGCCCCAAGGGTCCTCTGTCGTCCCAGATCCACCCTTGGATGGCCCCGGGGCCCGACAAGGGGCCCCCGACGACGAAATCGAGGAGAAACGCTTGGATCGAAAACACATACAGTCGGGGCGTTGACCTAAGGAACCCTAAATAAGGAACGAGGCCCCTTTTTTCCATAAGTTAAACTTCGAGTTCCTATCGAAAACATAAGGAAAACCTGAGGCAAGCTGCGAAACACTTAAGGAACGCGGAGCCCCTCCCCAACCAAAAGGGTTCCTTCTTCAGGGCCCCGACTGTACCGTGGCAGATCTGGGACCTCCTCTCTTTCTCGAGGTCCCTGGACCTCTCCGGGGGCGCGCCCCGATCAGGATCTCGGGGCGAGTCCAGCCGTGGCGACGAGGGCCTCCCCGGAGGCCCAGACAGGCCGAAAACGAGGCACCGCTACCTTTTTTTGTTCTCTCCTCTCGCGAGGTCCCCAGCAGGAAGCTGCCGACGACGTCGATCCGCTTCGGCGCGGCGAAGGCCATCGGGAACGGCTGGCGCTGCTGGAAGCGCAGCTGCGGGAACTCCGCCGCGAGATCCGCGGGCAGCTCCCGCGCCTCCAGGCCGAGCAGCGCTGGCCGCAGCGCGTGCAGGAACGCCTCCAGCCCGGCCTGGGCGGCCTTCCGCGGCGCCAGCTCCTTCAGCAGCTCCTTGCGGGACGCGGGAGGACACACTCCCAAGCATGCTCGCGCCGCAAAAATGAATGATCCTGGCGAAGGGGCCCAACCGTGTGCGGTTTTGAGCATTGCCGTTGTGGGTATCGCAGTCTGTGGATCCTTCTGGGGCCCAGGAGTGCGGGGCGGGGGCGCATGCGGGCGCAGCCGTTGGTGCCTTCGGTGGTGCTCCATATGGGGCCACGAAAACGTGTGAGAGAAGTGCCGAAATGGGGCGGGGCCGCCATGTGAACGTCGCCGCTGGGGCCTTCGGTGAAGCTTTTTATGGGGCCACGAAGCGCGTGAGAGGTATGCCGAAATGGGCGAGGGGGACGCGTGCGAACGTCGCCACTGGGGCCATACGTGGAGGTCCGCATGGGACCACGACACGCGCGAGCGGTGTGCCGACATTGGCGGGGGGAGACACATGTGATCACAGCCACTGAAGCCTTCGGTGAAGCTTCCTACGGGGCCACGAAACGCAGAACTGGGCGGCGCGGGGCGCATGTGGTCACAGCACATGGGGCATTCGGTGGACCTCCCCATGAGACCCCGAAACGCCGTAGGTGGCGCGGACGCACGTGGTCACAGCCACTGAAGCCTTCGGTGGAGCTCCCTATGGGGCTACGAAGCGCCCCAGTTGGTGGCGTGGGGCGCATGTGGTCACAGCCAGTGGGCCATTCGGTGGAGCTCTCTATGGGACCACGAAAACCGTTGCTGGGTGGCGCGGGACGCATAGATATGTGTATATATATATATATATAAACAAATGTATAGATGTATATGTATGTGTGTATTATCCCTCTCTGTGTAGACTGAGGCGATACGATGCTTGCATGGCGTTCCCAGGATCTCAGGGTTCGCGCCAAGACTTCAAGGTCCATTCCCTCTTCCTCCCCCCACCCCCTAGGCCCCAGACTCAGGCGATAGTTTGCTTGCATGGCATTGCCAGGATCTCAAGGTTCACGCCCCGATTTCAAGGCTCATTCCCTCTTCTTCTCCCCCCCCCCGGCCGCGGCAAGATATTGTACAGCCATTGGGCCTTCGCTGGGGCTCCCTATAGGGCCACGAAACGCCGTACTGGGTGGCGCGGGACGCGTGTGGTCACAGCCACTGGGGCGATCGGTGGGGCTCCATGTGGGGCCACGAAACGCCGTACTGGGCGGCGCGGGACGCGCGTGGTCACAGCCACTGGGACCTCCAGTAGAGCTCCCTATGCGACCACGGAACGCCTTGCTGGGTGGCGCGGTACGCACGTGGTCACAGCCACTGAAGCCTTCGGTGGAGCTCCCTACGGGGCCACGAAACGCCGTACTGAGTGGCGCGGGACGCATGTGGTCAAAGCCACTGGGGTCTTCGCTGGGGCTCCCTACAGGGCCACGAGACGCCGTACAGGGTGGCGCAGGGCGAATGTGCTTACAGTCACTGGGGCCTCGGGAGGACCTCCCTATGAGGACGCGAAGCGCCGTACTGGGTGGCCACTGGGGCTTTCGGTGGACGTCTCTATGAGGCCACGAAACGCCGTACTGGGTGTCGCGGAACGCACGTGGTCACAGTCACTGGGGCCTTCTGTGGGGCTCCCTATGGGGCCACGAAACGCCGTGCTGTGTTTCGCAGGACGCACGTGGTCACAGCCACTGGGGCCTTCCGTGGGGCTCCCATAGGGCCACGAGACGCCGTACTGGGTGGCGCGGGACTCACGCGGTCACAGCCACTGAAGCCTTCGGTGGAACTCCCTGTTGGGCCACGAAACGCCGTACTGGGTGACGCGGGGCGCATGTGGTCACAGCCACTGAAGCCTTCGGTGGAGCTCCGCATGGGGCCACGAAACGCCGTACGGGGTGGCGCAATGGGCGGTGCGCGGCGCAGTTGCTTACAGCCACTGGGCCCTTCGGCGGACCTCCCTTATGAGGACACGAAGCGCCGTACTGGATGGCGCGGGATGCACGTGGTCATAGCCACTGAAGCCTTTGCTGGCGCTCCCTACGGGGCCACGAAACGCCGTACTGAGTGGCGCGGGACGCATGTGATCACAGCCACTGGGGCCTCGGGCGGACCTCCCTTGTGAAGACACGAAGCGCCGTACTAGGTGTCGCGGGACGCACGTGACCACAGCCACTGAAGCCTTCGGTGGAGCTCCCTGTTGGGCCACGAGGCACTGTACTGGGTGGCGTGGGACGCATGTGGTCACAGCTACTGGGGCCTTCGGTGGGGCTCCCTATGGGGCCATAGTTTTCTAAAACATGGAAAAACGCACTTCGATTTGCACGTTTGGGCCCCCGGATGCCCTCGCTGGGCCCCGGGGCCGTCCAGAAACGACGCGGTTTGAGAAACGGGCCCTGGGGAAGGGGTTGGAACCTCTGGGGGCCCCGTACTGAAGAAACAGGTGAGGACATCGTATGGTAGCGGCGGCGGTCCTGGCGACGCGCTACGTATGCACTGCAAGCTGATAGCGTGCCGCTCTGCTCCGTGGGACGGGAGGCTGGGAAAGGCTCGGGACGTTGACGCCTGCGGATGGGAACATGTAGAGCGTGTCGCGCCGAAGCGTGGTGGGCCAGAACCGGAAATCAGCAAAAGGGCTGGAGATTGAGGATACAAGACCCTGGGAACGGCGCGACGGCCAAGCAAGCGCTCGCCCAAACGTGCTATAAAGATGGCCAGAGCCGAATGATGTCAGGTGCCCACTCGAACAGGCGCATTCGTGACGCTGGTCTTGACCGTACTGTGCGCCCCCCTCCGAGGTGAACGTCCAGACAGAACATACAGTACATACATAGTCGCGCAGATCGCTGCCCAGAGGTTTGGCAAGAAAGCGCCCACCACCGAGCGTACGCTACAGGATTTCTCAGCCAGGCGCGTCGCCCGTGGGGGCCGGTGCACACATTATCAGTATGCTTGGGTGATGCCGAGGCCTCAAGCTGAAGGCGGAACAGGTTCGACTTGTAGAGGTTGCGGGTGCGTGCTATCTCCATGACTTCCGCCGCGTCCGGCGCCCTGAAACCCGACTCGGACTTGGCCGCGGGGACCGCGGCCTGCTCACTGGGCGCAGCATCGGTCGGCGCCACGTCGTCGGCCGCGGGCGCGGCCGCCTTCTTCGCGGCTGGCTCGTCGCCGCCGAGGCCGCCACCATCGCCGCCGGACTTCTTCCGCTTCTTGCCAGCAGCCATCGCAGGATCGCCACGGAGGGCCAAAAACCTAGAAATGAGCTATAGTAGCTTGACCCAGAGAGGTTGCGGTCCGACTCCTCGCAGACGTGCTGGGGCTGTTACGCCGTGCTGCGTGCACGTCGCCGGCAGCCCGTCTGGCGCAGCAGGAGGGTCCCGCAGGGCATGAAGCTTTCGCCCGAGGCGGACAAGACAACTGCATCGGCGTGCTCTCAGCATCAGGCTTGCTTGTCTTTACCGGATCCACCTTTGCTGGACTGCACTGGGTGCGGTTTGCAAAGGGTGCGGTTTGCCTCCCGTCATATCTGCCCCTCCCCCCCAGGGAAACGGATGACACTGTCACTCAATGCGACCGAATCATATGACACTGTCGCTCTTTCTAATACAGTGGAGCACACGTCGAGGATGACAGTGTCGCTCGAAACGACGACAAGTATGACATTGTCTCTCACAAAAGGCCCTGGAAAGGCCGCCACAAAGCAATTCGCAAACCGCACCCTGGCGTAACCGCACCAATTGCAGTCGCCGAAGACAGGGGCCTCATGGAAGCGACTACCCAAAGAAAAGCTGGGACTAGAGAAAACACGATGTCGGAGATCCAAGAACCCTTTCTCCAGGACCCCTGCGGACGCCATCTGGCCGGCCTGGGCCCAGACGCCTGGCGCTTCGATTGCGCTGCAAGACTCCGCCGCCGTGCCCTTGAGGCACGAGTTGGAGTGTCCTCAGGCTCTTGGCCTAATCCTTGAAGCCTCAGCCCTCCATCCTGAGGGGTCGTGGGCCCAGACACAAAATTGCCAAATCTTCTGGGGACCGTCGAGTCTTCTCGCATGACCTTTTCGGGCCCAAGAAGGGCCCCAAGACGGGCCAAGAGGGCCCCCAGGGCCCCGACGGTTGAACCGACCATACATTTCGAGCCCTCGGCCCCGAGAGGCCCCCAGGAGGCCCCAAGAGGCTCCCAAGAGGCGCCAAGAGGCCCCCACAGGCCCCACAAAGGCCCCTGAGAAGCCCAAAGAGGCACCCAAGAGGTTCCCAAGAGGCCCCAAGAGGCTCCCAAGCTCCAAAACTGCCCCGAGAGCGCTCTCAAGAGACCCCGAGAAGCATTCCTGAGGACTCTGTCTGACCCACAACCTAGGCATGGTGGCAGGATGCAGCAGTCGGCCTGACCTAAGGAACGGTAAATAAGGAACGAAGCCCCTTCTTTCCAAGTAAGTCCAGGATGTGCGAAGGAACACCAGGGGGGGCTCGCCGCCAAAAAGGTACCATAACGAAAGCAAACCAAAGGAACGACCGAGCCTCTTGTGAAAAGTGCGTGTTCCTTATAAGCCAGACCATGTAGGCCGAAGGCCATTAGACCTGCTTGGCACGGGGACGGAAAGCGCACTTACTTCCAGAGCGCACGAGATCGCTGGCTCGTCCGCTCTTACACCTCTTATTGACTCCCTTCCCCTCGCTCTTGTCCTATCTCAGCCTCGGAGAGTCGCGGAGCTTTCTTTGAGCGCGTTTCTTGTTTTGGAGGGGGCGGTCGGGTCGCGTTGCGTTTTCCGCGTTTGGGCTGCCAACTTTCCAGAACCCCGCGTTTTCCTTGCGTGGACCGCTCGTTGTCCACGCGTTGCCGCCCGTCCCTGTGCCCTGGCTGCAAGAACTTATTACGCCGCAGCTCTCTGTTGGGAGCTTTGGTCTTATCAGCTCGATTACGTCACCGCTCGCTCTTGGGAGCCGCGGTGCTAAGAGCCTTTGGGAGCATTATGGGCCTCTTGGGGGGCTCTTGGGGAGCCTCTTGGGTGCCTCTTGGGGACCTTTTGGGGCTTCTCGGGGGCCTCTTGGGGCCTCCTGGGAGCTTCTGGGTGGCGGGGGTGAAGGGACTTGACTGCCTTTGGCCGTCTTTGGGCTCTCTTGGGGGCCTCTTGGGGCCTTCTCGGGGCCGTCCTGGGGCCGTCTTGGGCCGTCTTGACGCCTCTTGGGCCATCTTGGCGCCCTCTTGGGCCGCTTTTGTGCCCTCTTGGGGGCCTCTTGGGCCTTCTTGGGGCGCTCTTAGGGGCCTCTTGGACAATCTTGGGCGCCTCTTGGCCCGTCTTGGCGCCCTCTTGGGCTATTTTGGGGGCCTCGTGGGAACATCTTGGGCCGTCTTGGGGCGGTCTTTGGGGCCTCTTGGACCGTCTTCAACGCCATGAAAGGCGAAAAGCCGTATATGCTAGAAACGTACGTTTCCCTTCAGAACATCAATGGTTTTGGCCTCGTGGGGCCCTCTTGGGACGCCTCGTGGGCGCCTCCTGGGGCGTCGTGGAGGCCTCTTGGGACGTCTTGGGGCCGTCTTGGGCGGTCTTGGGCTCTCTTGGAGCGCTCTTGGGCCGTCGTGGGCGCTTCTTGGGCCGTCTTGGGCCGTCTTGGGCGCCGTCTTGGCCGCTTCTTGGGCTGTCTTAAGCGCCTAAGACGGCCCAAGAAGCGCCCAAGAAGCGTTCTCCGATGATGTCTCGAGCGAAACGATGTTTCTAAGCCCCGAAGGCCGTCCTACTCGATAAAAAACGAAGCGGGAGGGCCATTAGACATGCTTGGCACGGGGACGGAAAGCGCACTTACTTCCAGAGCGCACGAGATCGCTGGCTCGTCCGCTCTTACACCTTTTATTGACTCCCTTCCCCCCGCTCTTGTCCTATCTCAGCCTCGGAGAGTCGCGGAGCTTTCTTTGAGCGCGTTTCTTGTTTTGGAGGGGGCGGTCGGGTCGCGTTGCGTTTTCCGCGTTTGGGCTGCCAACTTTCCAGAACCCCGCGTTTTCCTTGCGTGGACCGCTCGTTGTCCACGCGTTGCCGCCCGTCCCTGTGCCCTGGCTGCAAGAACTTACGCCGCAGCTCTCTATTGGGAGCTTTGGTCTTATCAGCTCGATTACGTCACCGCTCGCTCTTGGGAGCCGCGGTGCTAAGAGCCTCTGGGAGTATTATCGGCCTCTTGGGGGGCTCTTGGGGAGCCTCTTGGGTGCCTCTTGGGGACCTTTTGGGGCTTCTCGGGGGCCTCTTGGGGCCTCCTGGGAGCTTCTGGGTGGCGGGGGTGAAGGGACTAGGCTGCCTTTGGCCGTCTTTGGGCTCTCTTGGGGGCCTCTTGGGGCCTCTTGGGCCCTCTTGGGGCGCTCTTGGGGGCCTCTTGGGAACATCTTGGGCCGTCTTGGAGCGGTCTTGGGGGCCTCTTGGACCCTCTGCAACGCCATTAAAGGCGAAAAGCCGCATATGCTAAAAATGCACGTTTTCCTTCAGCGCCTAAGACGGCCCCAGAAGCGCCCAAGAAGCGTTTTCCGATGATGTCTCGAGCGAAACGCTGTTTCTAAGCCCCGAAGGCCGTCCTACTCGATAAAAAACGAGGCGGGAGGGCAATTAGATCCGTGTCCGGTGATGCCAACCCCCTCGAACTCCCCCAAGTCCAATTTCTTCCGACTAACGGACCGCACGCTAACGCGCGCTTTCCGTCATCCGGGCCCGCGGATGCCAACCCCCTTGAACTCCCCCAAGTCCAATTTCTTCCGACTAACGGACCGCACGCTAACGCGCGCTTTCCGTCATCCGCCGCCCCCTGTGGTCGTGCCACAGAGGTGCACGGCGTGCTGATTTCCGGCGGCTGTTGGCTCTTCTGGAATCTTCCCCTGGGCATTCGGTCCCTTGCGCCGGCCACCTAGCACCACCCACAAATTGCCCGGACGGTTGCCTCTCTCGCTCCTACATGGCCTGCGACGGACCCCAAGTTGCCTTCAAGACGGCCAAGATGGCCAACTATGGCCTCCAAGATGCCTCCAAGACGGCCAAGCCGGCCCCCAAAGAGCACAAGGTGGCCACAAGACGCCCCTAAGACGGCCCAAGATGCACCCGAGATGTGCTCATCATGGCCCAAGACGGCCCAAGAGACCCCCAAGAGGTCTCCCAAACGGCCCAAGAGGTCTCCGAGGCCCTTCAGGAAAGCCCGAAGAGGCCAAAATCATTAATTGTCGGCAGGTTTGGGGAGGATTTGGGCATTTGCTCCTTCTCGGTCTCCCGACAGCCCAGGACGGCCCAAGAGCCAGGCCTCTAAGTCGCCCAAGATGGCCTCCAAAACGGCCCTGAGGCGCCCTGAGAAGGCCCCAAAACGGCCCTGAGAAAGCCAAAGACGGCCCAGAGAGGCCCCAAGACGGCTTCCGACTGCATCAGGCTGCCAACGACGGCCAAAAAGGCCCCCCAAGAGCCCCTTAATGTCCCCAAGAGGCCCAAGGAGGCTACCAAGAGGCCTCCAAGAGGCCCCCAGGAAGATCCTGGGAGACTCCAAGAGTGTGCCCCAATAGCTCCCAAGAAGCCGCCTCCTCCTTTTCCTTTTCCTCTTCCTCCATCTCCTCCTCCTCCTCCTCCTTCCCCCCCCCTCTTGTGTCCTCCCTCTCCTAGTATCACTGCAGATGTTGTTCTTCGTTTCCTCCGTACTAGTATGCATATCCTCCTCCTCCTCCTCCTCCTCCTCCTCCTCCTCCTCCTCCTCCTCCTCCTCCTCCTCTCTCCTCCTCCTCCTCCCTCCTCCTCCTCCCTCCTCCTCCTCCTCCTCCTCTCCCTCCTCCTCTCCCTCCTCCTCCTCCTCCTCCTCCTCCCCCCTCCCTCCCTCCCCCCCTCCTCTCCCTCCCTCCTCCTCCTCCTCCTCCTCCTCCTCCTCCTCCTCCTCCTCCTCCTCCTCCTCCTCCTCCTCCTCCTCCTCCTCCTCCTCCTCCTCCTCCTCCTCCTCCCCTTCCTCCTCATCTTCCTCCTCTTCCCCTTCTCCTCCTCCTCCTCCTCCTCCTCCTCCTCCTTCTCCTCCTCATCCTCCTCCTCCTCCTCCGTCTCCTCCCCCTCCTCCTCCCACCTCCCTTCCTCCTCGCTCCTCCTCCTCCTCCCACCTCCCTTCCTCCTCGCTCCTCCTCCTCCTCCTCCTCCCCCTCCTCCCCCTCCTCCTGCTCTGCGCGCCGCCGCCTGGCTGGCCGCGGGCCCAGCGCTCTCGTCTGGGGGGGGGGCGGGTCCGAGTCTCCTGCGCCTGCTCTGGCTGCCGGGCGGCGAGCCCAGCGCCTCGGCACGGCCGC